GGCTGGGAAAAAACAGAAAGTTTCTACTTTAAACAATGGGGTGGTCAAAGTCTGTGGGCTGCTGGGGCAGGCTTATTCCCTGGGGCAGACATTCTGGAGGTTGCTGGTTGGTACTAGGTAGATTTCTAGGCCGGCCCAGCAGCCTGGGGAGAAACCTTTGTTTCAAAAAAGGCCAATTCAGAGAAGACCGTATTTGATTTTTGAGGATGCGGGAGGAGAAGTCTCTGTATTGCATATTTGGAACTTGCTGCTATAAACTGGGCTGGGATTTTGCAGCAATTTCTCTTAGATGTGCAAATGAAATCTTTTGGATATTTTGCAAATATGCACAAATGTATGGGTAAATACCTACACAATTTTTTTTTAAAAGCTGGAACCGAGGATAAACTCTGATCAAGCACCTTCCATCGGTGTTGTCATAAAACAAGTTTTAAATGATCATAATACAGCTAACATTTTGGAGGCCAGGTTCGAATTCCCTTTCTCCCATATTTAAATTTTTATTCCAATATTTTTTCATTAGTTTCTTGAAATAGTTTTCCTTTTCCAAATACATGGTGCATGAGTGAGTAGGGAGAATCCCAGAGAAAGTAGGCACTGCCTGTGTGTGTATAAATTTTGCCTATCAAAGTTACAAGTCTTTGTTGAGCATGGGCTCCCAAACTATGCCAGAACAAGGCAACCACAGGAAGGAATGAGCACCCACACAGCGATCTCTCTGCAGTCCGAGCCCTCCGTACGATCATCCCAGAGCCACCTCCAGTTTCAAGCCAGAGCCAGTTTATTACTGACAAAACTAAGAAAATTGCAATTCAAGGGGTGTGTGAAAAGGCCCCAACACTCCCTGAATCGGGGGAAGGGCCAGCTCAGTGGCTGGATTTAGAAAAATTTTAAAAGCGTGTTGTTCAGGGATAGATTGCACCTGATCGATTCAAAGCAGACACATCAAATATCGGTGGAAATGTTGACATTCTTAAACATAAATGGCAAAAGAACATTGTTGCTTATGGGAAAATTCTCTTAACTATGAGAAAATTCATGAATGAGAGAAGCCTTAAATTTTTGTTAAAGCCGGATATGTGGAAGCAGCATTTATTTTTCCTCTCTGGGCCGTAGCCCAACTCCACAGTCCGCTGGATACTTTGGGAGCCCTGAAAGCATCGACAGTGATCTCCAGACACAAATTGTTTACTGACTACCTCAATCTCAGGATCTCTTAGTTTTTTGTTTTTTAAAGAACTTGATTTTTTTTCTGTAACAACAGTTTATTTCTCCTCACTTGCAAGGGCCTACTCAGGAGGAGGAATCCACTGTCTGGTGAACTGCAGCGTAATCCTCAACAAAGGGCTCCTCCACGGGCCTGGCCTTTACTTTGGCTTAGTGGGGCAAGCAGTTATCACCCAGGTAGAAACGGGCAACATTTATTTACTCCCATAAAACATAGGCTCTGGCGGCAGCTGCGTACCATGTACAAGGCCTAGTTGAGGCAAGCAGGCACTGAGGGCTTTAGGTCAAAGGCATCCTGAGGGAGAGGAGAAAATTCAGCAGCAGGGAGGAATGGTGAAAGGGAAAGAAGGCAAGAGAGCAAGAGTGAGAGCAGAGTGGCCAGAAGCTGACCCACGCTGCAACTGAATCACTTTTCTTAATCTCTCTGAGATGGGGAACCTCGAGAAAGCCAGACAATCAATAAATGGAATATTTTATTGAGGAAGCTAACACTTTAGTGTTACAGTCTAGGGAGTATGGAAACATTGGAGTTGTTTGGGGATGCTTGGGGTTCCAAGACCAACTGAGGCACTGAGAGGCATTTAACTTGAGCTTCTGCTGCATTGCTATCCTCTTGTTTGAGCCAGCGGCAGCGGGCCAGTCCGTGGCCAGAGTGCACGGGCAGTCTCTCCCTGCAGCCCTTCTCTGCAAGCCCTGTGGGAGTTGGATGGCAGTCCTGGGCCAGAGAGGGGCTCCCATATGGGCTTATACACTTTTTTTTTTTAAGCAAGAAAGCTCAAACCCAACCTCCTGTTTGGTTTATTACAAGAGGGAAAAATCACCCTACAGAAACACATCTGGCTCTCCATGAAGGTCACTGAAGACCCAAATGCCAATGCCTAGGTCTGCAAGGCCCATAGCAGGCCTGTCAGCTCCTCCACTCCTCAGCCTTTTGTAGCAGATGCAGTACCAAGCTGATTTTTATAAACTTGCATGCTCCTGGATACTATCCAGCCTAGAAGCCCATTTGGCTGCCCTAAAGGGTCCTGACCGGACAGGCCTGAACTGCCTGCGACAGGGCACCGGGCTTGTCTTACCAGCCAAATTGGTAGGGCCCCCGAGTCCCAGGAGAGTCCTGGAAGATTCTAGAGGACCCAAGGAAAAGCCTCTGAGGGGTCTGTGAACTCCTTGAAAATGATGGGTCAAATTGTGGGAATGCACAGTTACGTATTTTTCACAGGATGAATCAGAACTTGCCTTAGATTTTCCAAGAGGGTCCTGACTCCCTAAAAGGTTAAAAAACACAGGTCAAGATCATTGTCTTTAACTTTATTTCTGTAGCCTCCACCATCTCAAATATACTCTCTAATGGCTACTGGCCCATCCCAGAGACGTCTGGGAAGTTGCTTTCCACGTTTAGTTCGGAGAGGCAGGGCTCTAGGCCCAAGTCCTAGCCCACTGACCTGCTGGAGCTTGTTCTCCTCAAGGAAGCTTTGATGCTCTTGGGACCTACTTCCCATGGTACAGAGCTTTCCCGAGAGGCATGGACAGTGTTAAAGAGCAAAGCCTCCTTCCTAGGCAGTCCCCAGCTTTGTGGCATTTCCAGGTGGCACTGCTGAGTACAGCAGTCCCAGCCAGTTCCACTTGTGTGGTAAGCTGGGTAAGGACCAGGCAGAACCAAGAAGCTAAAGATAGGGCCATAGGCTGCAGTGCTCTGAAGCTTTTCGGCACTCAGATTCATTGGCCTCATGGACTCAGCTGGAGGAAAATTTGCTTTGGCCTTGGGCACCGGAGCAACTCAAAGAGAAGAGAGTTAATGATCGCTATGCACATACCCCTGTCTTGAATCTGTTACACCCTGATGCAGCTTTGAGACCCCGTCAGGCTGGAGAAAACCGCTCTCCCGTGCTCTTTCCCCTTCTCTCTCCCCCTCTTTTCTCTCCCCTGTTCTTTTCTCCTTCTATCCCTCTCCCTCTTTCTCTGTCTTCCTCCTCTGCACCGTGATGCTTAGTCCGCAGAGCCAGTCACCGCAGGGCGCCAAAGTGGAAGAGGCTGGAGCGCGGAGTTAGCAGTGTCTCAGCTTCCTGGGCGCGGCGCAAAGAGCAGCCATATCCCGCAGCTCCTTGAATGCTAGAAGCCAGAGACAGGGCTCTACCTAGCCGGCTCTCCATGTGCTCTCAGCATCCTCTCAGGCTCATCTTCTCCAGCTAGGTTTATACTGGGAGGAATGAGGCCAAAGCATGGCATATCACCTGGGATGCAAGTCTTTCCCCGCCACAGGCAAAGGCCTGAGTGTCTACTTCCTGGGATCCCAGCGTTCAGAACTCCAGCGCCAACTGGAGCTGGCAGGGCAGGCAGGCCTGGGGCATCCTCGAGACCTGTAGTCTGCAGGCCAGGGGCAAGGCAGCGACCTCCCAGTCTCCACTGGATCTGGCCAGAAAATGTCGAATTTCCTGAGACTTGTATGAGGCCCATACTTGGGGGCTAGCGTCCCAGGCCAGCCATTTCCAGTTGGTTAAGAGAGCGACCCTGAGGAAGGCTTGGCGTCCACTGAGCAAAGGGCCTGGCCTCCGAACACTCTTATAACAGGGCCATGAGCCCAGCCTGGCCTGTCAGGGAACAGATTTCCTCACCCAGGGCCTCGTTAAAATGTGCACACTGTTGGAGCAAGGACTGCCCCAGCTGTGGGTATGAAAGGGAGGGGGCAGAGGGGAGGGGACAGAGAGGCAGGAATATAGTGACACTGGTTCTTGTTATAACCTCCAGGAGCTTATGAATGCCAAGGCTAACAGAGCAGGAGAATAATATGGCAGAGGTGTCTGCTGGGCACACCCCTCCAAGTTTTCCCCTCGGGGTCATCTCCCCCTTCAGGCAGGCCAAGCACCCCAGAGCCAATATCTCACTCCCCTAAATGACATGTGAGCTTGGAGTCCCTTCAGGATGATTTGGGGGCTGCCTGGACCTGGCTCTGACCTTGGGAATGGGAGTGGGGGAATCTTTCTGCCAAGGCTGCCAGTCGCTTCCCACTCTCACTCATGCCAACCCACCAAGGTCCACCGACAGGAATTATAGAGAAGGCAAGCCAGGTGAGCACACTGGAGAAGATCCTAACTGGATCGACCGATTGTGGGAGGAAAGTGTTGGGAACTTAGGGGCCAGGGAATAGCCATTGCATTTTGGGGAAAAAAATCTGTGGGGTGACGGAAGTAGAGGCAACAGCCAGCTTCCAATTCACTCTGGGTCCCAGACACTCTGAGCGTCCTGGCGGCCTTACGCTCAGGTCCGCCACTTTTGGGAGCTAGAATTCAGAGATGGAGCCAGCTCCAGGTCCAGAGCTGAAAGGGAAGAGCCTGAGGCCCCGACACGGCCCGCTTAAGTGGTCAGAAAGCGCTGGGGACTAGTGGCCGCTTCTGCAACAGGGATAGTGAGCACCCAAGGAGGGCCGGGCGCGCACCATAAACACCCCACTTGTTAACTACACGGGGCCCAAGGGCGCTTCAAACAGACCCTCGTGTGGGGCTCACGTCCGGGTAGGGGCGGGGCAAACCCAGTCCCAGGTCCCCCACCAGCCATGTTGGGGCAGCCCCCACAGCTCCTGGCCTTCGGCGGAGGTGTCGGGCGTGCGTCTCCTGGCCCATCAATACAGATTACATATTTATATCAATCGCGGGCTCCGAGGGCGCCTTCGGAGCGCGGCCCCGCGCCTACGAAACCAAACTGGGAGTGGTCGCGCGGAAACTCTGGCTCAGGATTGGCTGCGGGCGCCCGCCGCGGTGCGGGGGGATTGCTAATCGTATTCAGCATGTTTTGCACAAGAAATGTCAGCCAGAAAGGGCTATCTGCTCCCTTCGCCAAATTATCCCACAACAATGTCATGCTCCGAGAGCCCCGCCGCGAACTCTTTTTTGGTCGACTCGCTCATCAGCTCGGGCAGAGGCGAGGCGGGCGGCGGTGGCGGTGGCGCTGGGGGCAGCGGCGGCGGTGGTTATTACGCCCACGGCGGGGTCTACCTGCCGCCCGCTGCTGACCTGCCCTATGGGTTGCAGAGCTGCGGGCTCTTCCCCGCGCTGGGCGGCAAGCGCAATGAGGCGGCGTCGCCCGGAGGCAGTGGCGGTAGCGGGACCCTAGGTCCCGGGACGCACGGCTATGGGCCCGCGCCCATAGACCTGTGGCTAGACGCGCCGCGGTCGTGTCGGATGGAGCAGCCTGAGGGGCCTCCGCCTCAGCCCCAGCAACAGCCGCCACCCCCGCCACAACCACCCCAGCCCCCGCCGCAGGCCACCTCGTGCTCTTTCGCTCAGAACATCAAAGAAGAGAGCTCTTACTGCCTCTACGACTCTGCGGACAAATGCCCCAAAGGCTCGGCCACCGGTGCCGAATTGGCTCCCTTCCCTCGGGGCCCGCCACCCGACGGCTGCGCCCTGGGCGCCTCCAGCGGGGTGCCAGTGCCCGGCTACTTCCGCCTCTCGCAGGCCTATGGCACGGCCAAGGGCTACGGCGGCGGCAGCGGCGGCACGCAGCAGCTCGGCGCCAGCCCGTTCCCGGCGCAGCCCCCGGGGCGCAGCTTCGACCCGCCGCCTGCGCTCGCCTCCGGCCCGGCGGATGCGGCCCGGAAGGAGCGAGCCCTCGATTCGCCGCCGCCCCCCACGCTGGCTTGCGGCGGCGGCGGGGGCTCGCAAGGCGACGAGGAGGCGCACGCGTCGTCCTCGGCCGCGGAGGAGCTCTCCCCGGCCCCTTCCGAGAGCAGCAAAGCCTCGCCGGAGAAGGACTCCCTGGGTAAGCAGGGCCCGCCGAAGGGCTTCAGTCAGGCGGGCAGATAGACAAGCAGACCCAGGGAAAGGAAGGCGCAGAGAACCAGGAGCCCGTGCGGCAGCCGGCCCGCCTTGGCCCAAGCTGCAGGCAGGCTGACCTTGTGAACTTGCTTTTTAATATTGGGCGTGGGGACGCAGTAAAATTCACGTCCGGCTTAGCGCCCCACACCAAGATGTCCTCGGCGCTGGCCTCGGCTCCCCCAAACTCGGGGCAAGCTCACCAGCGAGCAGGCCCCCTCCTGTGCATGCTCTTTCCTGTGGCTCGGAGCACCCCAAGCCCTGGTCCCGGCCCAGCTGCGCGGCGCGGCCCACGCGGGGGGAGGAGGAGGGAGGGAAAGTAGCTCGCCCGCAGATAGCGCGGATGTTTGTAAGGCATCCAAAATAAGCAGCCGCCAGCGCCAATAAATAAGCCCATTAACCGGCGAAGTTCGAGTTTACGATCCCCCATGCTTTTTTCAAAGTTGCTGGAGGGGCGGGAATCCTTATTGCGGGGAGAAGAAAAGACAAATCCGGCCTAGACGCCGGGGCTCTGAGCTGAGAGCCAGAGAGGGGCCATTTCGCTTCCCCTGGAACTCGGAATCGCCCAGCTGCACACCCCTGGCTTCTAGAGAGACGTGCGGGAGGGCCCTTGACCCCCGCATCGGTTTTTCGTTCATTCTCGGTTAGCTCAACTATGCCCTTCTCCCTCCCCTTATCTGGCTTTGGACAATCAAGGGCCTGGGTGAGACCAACAAGCTGTCCGCCCACCTTCCAAGTAAGCACCCCGAGCTCCCAGCCTGGGGGCTGCAGGAAATGCTTGTCTGCAATACGGTGGCCAGAAGCACAGAAAGGCTTTAAGGTCAAGATGTACAGCCTGCCCTCCCAGGCCCTTCGTTCTAGGAACACCTACAGCTTTGTGCTAAAACAGGTGTTTGGAAAAAAGTGTAGGAAGATGTAAATTGGGAGGGTAGGTGTGGATTGGAGGCCCACTCAATTTTGCCATGACTTTTGGAGGAACTGCTTGTTCTCCATAAGCCAAAGGAGGACATAACCCTCTTCTTGTGACTTAGGACCTCTCTCTTATGGAAGAAACGTTGGGAATTCACCCCCAGCGTGCAGCCCGCGTGGCCTTAACCTTCCCTTCTTCATTCTTATATGCCAGGCAATTCCAAAGGCGAAAACGCAGCCAACTGGCTCACAGCAAAGAGCGGTCGGAAGAAGCGCTGCCCCTACACGAAGCACCAAACACTGGAGCTGGAGAAGGAGTTTCTGTTCAACATGTACCTTACTCGAGAGCGGCGCCTAGAGATCAGCCGCAGCGTCCACCTCACGGACAGACAAGTGAAAATCTGGTTTCAGAACCGCAGGATGAAACTGAAGAAAATGAACCGAGAAAACCGGATCCGGGAGCTCACAGCCAACTTTAATTTTTCCTGATGAAGCTCCGGGCGACGCCTTTTATTTTTATTTTTATTTTTTTGCTTCCAGAGCGCTGGTTCCCTCCCTCTGTCTTCAGCCTCTGCCCAGAAACTCGCACCTGTGCCGGAGCCCTATTCCTCCCTCCCACACTCGCCATCTCCTGGGCCATTACATCTGTGCAGGGCTGGTTTGTTCTGACTTTTTGTTTCTTTGTTTGCTTGGTGCTGGTTTATTTGTTGTTTTCTGGGGGAAAAAGCCATATCATGGTAAAATTCTATAGAGATAGATATTGTCCTAAGTGTCAAGTCGTCACTGGGCTGGGTTTGCTGTTTTGGGGTCCCACGGCTTGAAATGGCCCCTGTTCTCCGCCGAGCTGGTTTCCTGCCCAGCCAGGGGTAAACCTAGCCGGAAAGCCGAGGTTCCATTGTCGGCGCTGAGGTGTCTGGCCTGAGGTCAATGGTGCAAGGAGCCGCCACTGGGCACGCCAGCCTGGAGTGCTGGGCTGTGTTTAATCAGGGGATACAGGCCCCTCGGTGTCTTTTTTTTCTCTCTTCCTTTCTTCCTTGGCCAAGAGAAGGGCTGACAGGCATGGTATGCAGGTTGGCAAAAGGGCTTGACTTTGTCTGATTGAAAAAGCAAGAAAGAGTCAGTAAGATTAAATTTTCCTTCCTCTGTAAGATATTCCAACTTGAAAAGAAAAAAAGAATGACCAAGAGAAGGAAACTTCTCTTTTAGTTTGTGTAAGGTTTTGCATTGCCTGACTAAAATGTTTCATTTATCCCTGAATTTCCATATCCTTCTGGCTGTAGATAAATAATGTAGTTTTGTTTATACATGTGGAATTAGTGGATTTTTTGTCATTAAAATCGTTACCAGTGGTAACAGGCGACAAGCACACCACAATTCTCCCTGTCTTGTGGAGTTGGTTTTTCTTAATCACCTTTAAATTTTTTTTTCTTTCTGAAATTCACAGAAGCCTGTGAGGGCTGGGGCAAGCGGAATAAACTAGAGAAGGGAGACATTGTTTGGATTTCCTTTATACTGTGAAGTAACATGCATAAAAGGGTCAAACCTGTAGGTGCAGAAAAAGAAAAAACTATAAATACAAATCTGTATAAACGTCTATTATTATGAAGAATTGCCAATCTTGTTTTAAGCAAATGCATTCTATCATTATTATAAATGTTAGTTCTAGCTCTATTTACTTCTAATCTTAAATCAGAATAAATTAATATTGTATTGCTGCTGTGCGTGGAAAAAAGACGATGTTTATGTTCTTATAGAATAAAAGCTGTGGAATGAAGCTTTTTAATTTTACCTCTTTTTTGACTTTTTATCTTCACCTTCCACTTTATCCCGTCCACCACTTTTACAACAGGAGGACTAACCCGAGCCCCCTGCAATTACTTTAGGCATCTATTTAAATATTACCTAGACGGTCGTAATTTGTCTGGGCCCTATAGCCCTGGTGCCGTAAGGTTTGTCGGCTTTTGTTCAGTTTTATGACTTGCTAGTATATCTGGATTGTGACTGTCTTGGACCAGTGGTTTCAGTTGAGAGGAGAGCTGCATAGACAGAGGAAGCCAAACAGGATTTCTTTCGGGAGCCCCAGGGAGAATTGCAGAGGCCAGTTATTTTGCGGGTGCCCGGTCTAAGATGACCCCCAGCTTAAATCCAGGGAGCAGGCCTGGCCCACAGGGCATCACTAGAGCCGGCGGCAGTGGTTAGGTGGACCCGAGCCCGGCCGCCTGGGGCTGCCCCCTCCCCCAGCACGGCCTCCCCCACCTGGCGGCCCTCCGCAGGGCCACGCGTTTCCTGCTCGCCAGATTGAGGGGGGGGCGACGTTAGGGGGAGGGGGCTCGGGAGCGCGCGCCCCGGCGGGCAGGCGGCTGGGAGGGAGGGGGTGAGAGTGAGCGGCGGGGAGCGAGCGGCAGGAGGCCGCGGCCAGACTGGGAGCCAGGCTGGGTACAGACCCTGGCGCTTTCCAGTCTTCCAGGGCTGTCTTCGCTTGGCGCTGGCTCGCTGAGCTGCAAGATTTGGGAAATCAGCACGCACACTGCTCCTTCTCCGCTCTCTTCTCGCCTACTCCCCTCCTTTCTTCCTCTCTCCCTCCCTTCTTCTCCCTCCCTCTCTCTCCCAGCCTTACCTTACTGGGGCCGGTGGCTTCTCCCTCGGTGACGCATTTGTGGCAGCCTAGGGTATCAGTTGCGGCGGCGGGCACAGGTCGCCGAGGGGCTGGGCCGGGCGCGATCGCAGGGTTCTCTCCTTGGCGGCGGCGGCGGCAGTGGCGGCGGCGGCGGCGGCGGCGGGCGAGGCAGCACCGCGCGGGCAGCACCAGAACTGGTCGGTGATTTAGGTAGTTTCCTGTTGTTGGGATCCACCTTTCTCTCGACAGCACGACACTGCCTTCATTACTTCAGTTGAAATCGTCTCCAGGTACCTGTGCGCGCGGGGGCCGGGCCGGGCGGGGCATCAAGGCCCTGGTCGTGCCAGGCCTGCGGTGGCAACATCGGCTTTCCCTGCGCAGAAGCCTCGAGTCTTCCTCCTTAGCGCTGTGTCAGCCAGCCGGCTTTCCCCTTCCCCCACATACCTCCACCTGGCCCAGAGCAGGTACAGTCAGGTTAGCAGCTCCTTCTAGAACGCCCGGGGGGCGTGGTAGGAATTCTGGGCCTTGGGCCATTCAAGGTCAGGGGCGCCCACGCTTCTATCCTGAGCCTCCCCCACTCTAGGCCTGCACCTGGCCAGGGACCCTGCCATTCTCTTGCAAGGCTGGAACACACACACACACACACACACACACACACACACACGCACCCTAAATCCAGGGTGTGAGCCCTGGAAGGATCCCTTTACCAGTGAAGACCCAAACCAATGTAGAACAGGGCAGACAGGGGCTGGGACCTGGCCTTGTCACTTACCCTTCTCTCTGTAAGCATGGCCTCTGCTCCTGGGAGTCGCCTGTCTCTCTTTTGTTCCTTCTTTTTTTTCCTCTGCTTCCTTCCTCTTTTATCCCTTTTTTCTTCTTTGCTCCTTCTTTCTTTTCTTCCCTTTATTTTTCTTTCATCTTTCATCTTTCTGTGTCTCTATCTTGCCTCCTCTTCTTTCCAAATCATCCTTCAGGAGGGGCTGACTTAAAGAGAGGCTGGAGGGGGGGGTCTCATTTTTCTCTGCTCGCTCAGGGACAGATTGAGGATCCTGAAGAGAAAGGGCCCGCGTGGGGCGGTTGTGAGGCGCCGTGGGTTTCGGCCTGGTGTGCCGCTGCTCAGACAAGGCCTCGGTTACGATCACGACCGGATGGCGGCGGCCTTGCGTTCCTTCTCTGCCTGTCGCTAACGGCTGACTGGGAGACCAGATTAGGGGGCATTCGCGGCGTCATCGTGTGCCCACACCGAGGGTAGGGAAGCCTTCGCCAGGCGCACTGGGGACCCGAGCTAAGGCCGAACCAGGATCCGTGGAGTCTGGCAACTTAGGGAGCTTGGCTAGGAAGCTCCTCGCGGGCTCTTCCAGGCCTGTTGGTCCTAGCTCTGGCTTTGACTGTGATAAGGGAGCCCCGCTAGGGTAAAGCTTGACTGCTTGCTTGCCAGAGGCTTCTACCAGGTACAGGATATGTTAGATAAGGCACCCTTGTGCAGCTGGGTGCTGGAGAAGGGGACCCTTCCAAGAGCCAGTATGTTTCAGATAGGTGAAAGGAATGCCAAATTCCAGAACCACTGGGATACAGACTTGAATCCTTTTTCGAAGTTGTAGTCTACCAGTGGAAGCCAGTGTGACCATTCTCAGTGCCGGGAACTGAAAACAAACCATCCCTCCCTACTCCCCAACACACACACACACCCCTTTAGAATCATGCCCACAGAGCCGTGCTTCCCTTCCCAGCCTGGGCTGGAGGCTCAGGAACTGTTTTCATTGCTCAGCCTACCGATTTGCTATCTGAAAGGTCGGCACACCCGGTTCTCTTCGACTCCTCCCTGCCATTTTCCAAACCAGGGTACTGGATTTATTTCAGTGATGTAGGTTTTGTAAGAACTCTCACTCAAGAAGGGGCAGTTTGTAATTACATTCACTTATTATTTCTTTATGTACGCGAAATCCCTTTCGCTTCCAAAATAAAAGCAGATCCCAAAGTCCAATATTCTGGCCCCAAACCTCTGGGCTGAAGGGGGACAATATTTGGTTTTGATTTTTTTTCCCCCTCTTCTAGGCACCAGTAATGGCCGCTCAACACTCAATGCCTTCTAATTATTTAGTAATTGTCCTATTTGGGGACTAAGGCTATTTAAAGGAACAACCTTTTATTTTAAAGAAATTATTAGTAATAATCTGTGTCTTCTCTGGGTACAAAAAGTGGAAAAGGCAGTCAGGCGTGCCCAGCGCATTTGCAGACAATTACAATTAGGAGTGAAGGTTTCCTCTAAGATTAATTTTTTAAATGAAAATCGCTGAGGTCCCCATGCACTGCTGAATATTTAGGACACCTTGGACTGCGGTGGGGGTGGATATGACTCAGAGGAATTTACAGGGCAAAGAAAATATTAGGGGGGAGGAAGCTGAGGCGGACAGGACGGGCCACGTCGGAGTTCATTGTGTTGGCCACTTCCCTCTTCCCGGCGCGCTGGCGGAGGAAGGGCACTGTGCTTCGCAGGCAGTCTCGCTTGGGGAAAGCCTGGTATTTGGGGGGGTCCCCACCCTGGTGTGTGTCAGGGTGTATAGAGGGGATTACTGGAACTCCTGGTGAGAATGAACGCAAGAGAGAGAGAGAGAGAGAGAGTGAGAGAGAGAGATGGAAACGTCCGAGGGCGACAGCTTTGCCGCCGGGAAGTGGGCTAATGAAAAACACACTCTTACAGGCAACAGTATTTACACGTGAATTTGATTACCCCGTTTCTAGGAGTCGCTGCTTTCTGTTAGGAATTGGGGTGGGTTTTTTTTCTTCCAATTAACAATGGCTTCGGCCTTTTAATTTACTGCCCCCCCCCAAAGGGATGGGAAATAAACTTCCCCAATCTGGCTAGGCCAAGGAATGGGATTCGAGTCAATGCCTCGTGCCCCTCCCCATTTTAATTTCTAGCCCTGGACTTTGAGCTCCAACCGCCTCACTTTGGGCCTTGTGCCCTTCTGCTAAGTGGCCCCGGCCCGTGGGTAACCAAGGCTGGGCCTGGAGCAGGAGCAATGGCTGGAAAGGGAGGAAGGAAGGAACCCTGAAAGGCTCACCGAGCCCCAGAGCAGGCCACACCGGTGTGGGCCATTGGAGCCGCGTGGTCTCTTAGGCGGGGTTGCCTTTTCCCAAGCTGAACTCTCCTTCCATTGATGCCACTTGGAGTTTTTTTCCCCTGCTTGGGTTTGGGGAGCGCGACGAGGCTTGGAAAGTTCAGTGTTAGGGCCTTCAAAGATAGAGCCACAGAGGCAGTCACCCACCACCTGAGCCCAGGGATCGTGATTCCCAACTGATGAGGAGCTAGGCGAGCGTGTGCGCGGGATCGAGGCTAGGGGCCGAGCATGCAGCACAACCAGGCCCTCAAACCTTTGCTTTGGGGCGGCTGGCCGCTCCCTAGCTGGAGGAGCAACGGCGAATTTGGGGGCTGCCCGGGCTCCCTGTGCTCCATGCAGGCAGGCTTGGGGGCCCACGACAGGCGGCACCCTCTCCGCAGCTGGTCCTTGCCCGGCGCGCTCTGGCAGGGGCGGTGGCGACTCTGGGACAGATACTGTGTTGAATTTGACTTTTCACGGCCGGCCTGGGGTAAACTCGCCTCTCCCGGGGACCGCAGGGATTATTTACAGGGAGCTCGCCAACCAAACACAACAGTCTAATTTAACCTTTCCAAGTCCTCGTAAATTTTTACAGCTGGGAGCCACGGCAAGGCAAACGAATCTGTTGGTCGTTCCCGACTTCGACTTCCCACCAGCCAGTGTGGCTTCTGAAACAATAACTCCTTATGAAATATCATAAATATAGATTTAAATACAGTAGAGCGAGAATGCGATTTGGCTGCTTTTTTATGGCTTCAATTATTGTCTAATTTTATGTGAGGGGCTCCGCTGGCCGCACTCGCACGCCGGACCCGCGCCTTCCTGATGGCGTGATTAATTGTGATATAAAATAGTCCGCTTAAGAAGGAGGGGGGGAGAGAGTACAGAGGCAAGGCCAGATTTGATCTTTTAATCTTCGTTGGCCACAATTAAAACAAACCCGATCGTGGAGCGGCGCGATCCCTTTGCATAAAAACATATGGCTTTTGCTATAAAAATTATGACTGCAAAACACCGGGCCATTAATAGCGTGCGGAGTGATTTACGCGTTATTGTTCTGCCGGGCGGGCACGTGACGCGCGCGGCCAATGGGGGCGCGGGCGCCGGCAACTTATTAGGTGACTGTACTTCCCCCCCCCTGGTGCCACCAAGTTGTTACATGAAATCTGCAGTTTCATAATTTCCGTGGGTCGGGCCGGGCGGGCCAGGAGCTGGGCACAGCAATGGCCACCACTGGGGCCCTAGGCAACTACTACGTGGACTCGTTCCTGCTGGGCGCCGATGCCTCGGATGAGCTGAGCGCTGGCCGCTATGCGCCGGGGGCCCTGGGCCAGCCCCCTAGGCAGGCGGCGGCACTGGCCGAACACCCCGACTTCAGCCCGTGCAGCTTCCAGTCCAAGGCGGCGGTGTTCAGCGCCTCGTGGAACACGGTGCACGCGGCGGGGGCCAACGCTGTGCCCGCTGCGGTGTATCACCACCATCACCACCACCCCTACGTGCACCCCCAGGCGCCCGTGGCGGCGGCAGCGCCAGACGGCAGGTACATGCGCTCCTGGCTGGAGCCCACGCCCGGTGCGCTCTCCTTCGCGGGCTTGCCCTCCAGCCGGCCTTATGGCATTAAACCTGAACCGCTGTCGGCCAGAAGGGGTGACTGTCCCACGCTTGACACTCACACTTTGTCCCTGACTGACTATGCTTGTGGTTCTCCTCCAGTTGATAGAGAAAAACAACCCAGCGAAGGCGCCTTCTCCGAAAACAATGCTGAGAATGAGAGCGGCGGAGACAAGCCCCCCATCGATCCCAGTAAGTGTCTCCTCCATTCAAACCCGCCGCCGCCTCCATGCCGGCCACCTGGATCTGCTGGCCCGCCAGCTTTCTCTCGAGCCTGCCTTCGCCTCGCTGGGAGCCTCCTGAGTAGGGGCTGGGAGCCAGAAGCTGGTGTTTGGGACGCCCGGATGGGGCCCCAAGTTCGGAGAGCAGCGACGAGCGGGCCTGCAGGGCTGGGGGGAGAGAGAAGGAAGCTGCTGCAGCGAGAGGGGCGGGGCGGGCACTTCGGGCCGAGGCAAGACCGGCCACCCCTCTCCTTGGCTGCCCCGGCCCAGGACAGATACTTTGGGCTGTTCTTCGAAAGCAGCGCAGCAGAGAGAGTCTTTTGTGCGACTAGCTTGTCCGCGAGCATCGGCAGCGAGGCAGCCGGGCAGCTTGACCGGGACTCTGGGGGAGACGGCCGATTCTTTCTACTTCTTGCCTTCCGCCGGTGGCCGTGTAAATCCTGCCCAAGATGAGGCTGCGGGCGACCGGGCCACGTAGGCCCCCATGCCAGATTATTCAAATAAACTGGAGACGTGATCAACGGTTTTGGGGCGCCCTGCCGGCCTGCCCAGCTCCTATGGCCTTCCAGGAAGGTCAAATAACAAGTGGGGAGAGTAGAAGGAAAGGTGGGGAAGGGAAAACACAGAGTCAGTGAGAGGGAGAAAAGTATTAATCTTGCTACACCAACACAGGGCGGCATGGTTTCCTCTGCGTGGCAAGGAGATGTTTCCAAACTTCACTCTACACAATGTGCAGAGAGTGGGACGAAGGAGAGAAGGGGACAGGAGGACCGAGTAGGAGAAAGGAGGGCTGCAGAGGGGAGGAGGGAGTTTTACTGCGTGCAATTGTAAGTGACCGTCCGTGCGTCTGTCTGCCAGGGTTCCATTGTGTCTGAGGCTAGGCAGCCTTCCCTAACCAATTCAGCGGTGTCCTGCACTTCGGCCCCCGGAGACCCCAGGAGG